TTACCTCCACAAAAACTTGTATATAGTGTGTGACTGACATAGAGGCTGGAGTCATCTGTATCTCTTTGCTGCAATATAGTTGTCATCCAGTAACAATAAAGCCCACTATGGATTCTTTTTGGGAAAACTGCTCTCAATTGTCTATAGAAAATATGCTGGTCGAGGGTTGCTGGAAATATTTCAGCATTCCCATTGATCTTTCCAGAAAGGATTATTCAGAATTTGCATATTGGATGCTTAGGTGATGGAAATGGCTAAATCCCAAGCTGGTTCATCTACTCTTCATATTGTTGGTGACCATGGCAAGGAGCCACTCAGATCCTCAGAACTTCATCCTGCTATTTAACCCCTCCATCTGTGCTTTAGTGGCTGGGGGGAGGAGGAACGCTCCTTTTTTAGGGCTACCATATAAGAATGGTAAATCAAGACAGCCATAAGATGGCAACTAAGGGTTAGAGTTTCTGTGTTTCTTCACTGCCATCTAGTGATCTTTATCTTTCCAATCAGTAGCTGTATTAGCTCTGTCATGACAGTGCAAGAGGCATAACCAGACAATCCTGGGTGAAAAACCAGCACTAAACATTTACAACAAAGTCAATAAAGAAATGCTTAGTCAAGATCTGATCTTGATTTCAAGGGAAATTCTTTATTACATTTGAAAAAAGAGTGTTAGGCTACAAGTGTTACCAATGTTCTGGCAGAGATCAAGTTATCTGAATTATCAAAGTAAAACTGCATTTCAAGAAACAAGGCAGTTTCGGTCAGACTGTTAGAAACATTGTTTCAATATCTTATGAGCCCAGGGAAAAACGTTTACCCTGGAAGCTCCCACTCTATGCTGAAACACAGCCAATACTACTTCAGTCGAATTGTAGTTATTGGGCTACCTAGAAGCACAGCCTACTCAGAGTAACAGCTTACTTCTGTGTAGACAACTACTCCCAAGGCACTCTTCCCAGAAATCTGGCACTTCAATTCTCTGCTCCCAACTTTGAGGAGGAAGTGCTCTCATAGACTTGGTGGCTCCGTCCTTTCTTTGGAACCTTAGTTCAGGGTTGCAGAGCTGGGGGCAGTAGAAAATGGTTTTAGTAAGCTATCATACCTGGGCTTTAGAACTCCAAATGACATTGATAGCACTACATAGCTAGAGTCTTTTGTATCTCTTTGC